TTTATTTCGAACTACCTTGGATCGCAGTAGATCAATCAGCTGATCCCTCAACTTAGAGTCTCCGCTGATCTGACGGGTCACACAGGTGAGTCGGTTCAAACCCCGGGAAAGCCAAAATACTAATTCTTTCTAACTCCAATAAGTTAAAGAATAAATCAAAGAAATCGAAGTGAGCTCGAGACGTCTCGAACTAATCCGAATAAAACCGAAAACCAACAGACTTAGTGTGTCCAATCTTGTCCCAAAAATGTCAACTTTGAAACATTCCTGGGCGTCGCGAATCCTTTACTTCGTGCTCCGCCGAGGTAAAAAAATTAATTTAGCATTTCAAAACCTTGAGAAATATCCATGTTTTTCAAAACGTTCGCTAATACAGTCTCAGACAACCTAGTTACCCCCCCTCTTGAGATTTGTGTCTCGGGTCTCGTTTGGTTCGCCTCCTCCTTGGATCGCACTTCCCCATTACAGTCAAACCAAGTCAAGCGTACCCCCCAAGATTCTATCAGTGAATTGATTATTCGAAAAATGGATCCATTAGTCGTTCCCGTAACTGGTGTCAAATTCAAAGCGGCATTTCTGCATGTGTAATGAGCAGTGAATATTTTACGAGAACTTCCCTGTATTTGGTCGGATTGGAAATCTTTGAATGGATTAAGCTTCATAGAAGACACTTACATCAATTTCTAGAAAATGGAGCTGGTAGAAATTTCATAACTGCCTCGCGTGTGAATTCACGGCTCATTACACATACAAGAATGCAGAGATCAATCTGAAATCTATAACTAGCAACGGATTCAACTTTTGAATAATAAATTCATTAATGAATTCTTGGGGGGTACGCTTGACCTGGTTTGACTGTAAAAACCTGGCTGCAGGCCTGAAATGTAATGGTATAAGGAGCATCATTCTCCAGGAGAGTTTTTTAAAGAGGGACTTCATCACGAGAATATTGGTGTTTTAGGTCAATTCTGTGCTGAAGTCATTGCTTAGTGCCTTTAACACCTGTAAACAAAATGCTCCTGTAGGGTTATGCGGGAAGAGGCCATTGAACAAATTTCATGAACAAATTTCGAACAGGGAGTTTTAGTGAGTTTTGTAGGCATAGCATAAAAACTTGAAAAACTGAGTAACCGTAAAATTCCGAAAATAAGCCCCACCATGTATAACCCCCTCCAAATATAGGCCCCCTAAACTCGTAACGCAAAAAAACCCTCCGTTAAATCGCCCCTCCAAATCTAATAAGCCCCCCGGGGGGACTTGTACTCCGAAATTGCCTTCAAATACAAAGTAAAACAAGGCAAAAACGGTAAATCTCCTTCCATTTATAAGACTAGCCCAATCGATTTTGAAACGCAAATTTCCCTCCGTAGATAAGCCCCTCAAAAAAGGCCTTTGAAAAATATAAGCCCCGGGGCTTATTTTCGGAATTTTACGGTATCCTATCTTTTTAAATCCAAGTCCATCCTTGCCACCGTAGCAACAGACGACAGAAAATAGTTTCCATGCCTAAATTTAGTTTTAATAATAACAAAACTCAGGAGCATTATGTTTGGAATTCAATTGATGCAAAGACTCCATAGCCTCTTATAGGAAATAATGTGACATAGCCCCTTTTTAAAAGCTCATGCAGTTTCTCAAGAGATCTGAAATAAAAAATAAATTACACAACTGATTGCCTTTTGTAAATTTTAATAATGACCGTTTCTTTCAGATTGTACAATTCATTGGATTTTGTCTACATGTCGGTTTATGCCGATTTTGCTGTGGTTTCGGTTTTCAAGCAAGCTCTCAGTAAAGATTCTTGGATCTTAATATTTCGTTTTCAGTTAGGCATCAAATACAACTGACTTTTTAATACAATGTTTTATACAATCTCCTCTTGCGTTTTAGAAATTCCCTAGCTGCCCTGTTTTTACTCGTCCTGACTTTGCGAGCAAGCAGATCTTTAATGTTTGTAGATCGTTCTCCAGGATTTTCCCTTTTTCCCCACCGATCGCATTCTCCCCCATCTCCATAGCGACCACAAACCTTGTCCGGTTGAGCGTTGAGCACAACACAGCAATACATTAGAAGAAACACCAGGGCCACTTTCTTCTCCATTGTTGCATTAAACCTCTTTCGGATTATAGATACTAAAAACAACATAATAAAAACCGTATTTATTAGTTATGGGTTCTCTTTTCTTTTTATAAGAATGTTGTTTTTCCGGCCCAGGCTGAATATACTTATTCTTAGTTTTCTGCCGATTTGGGGCTGAAAATGTTTGGCTTGTATTGTTCTTAAATTGTAGCCTTTGACTTTTCCTTTTTCAGAATGTATTAGAGTATATTAATTGCAGTTTAAATAGCAATGGCACGTTGTTTTTCTTTTTGGTGACTGGTTTTGCTGTTAAGAGAAAAGAAAATTTCACGCTTGCTTAAGTCAGAAGTTGTGTTACACGATACGTACACGATCCCAACTACAGGTGACTTATAAAGAGATAGAAAACCATCTGCTGGACGAATTAATGGAATATAGGATGCTGTTCTGGTTTCTGAGAAAAAAAAAGTCCGTATGATGGAACAGAGAACTAAAGCTAACTAACTTTAGAGTGTAACGCTGGACGAAAAAACGGACTTACCTGTATAGCAAATTTGGAGCAAACCATCGGCAAATGCCACATTTGCTCAATTTGCTCAATTTTGCTAGATGACGTAGGATCAAATTTGCCATGATAATTTTGCATCGATGGCAAAGGTGGTAAACGCCGCATTTGCCTCAAATTTGCCCGGTGTGTAAAAACAAGGAAAGCTTTTACTTTTTCAAGGCATTTACAAACTTGATTTTGAAACTGACATTTGTAAGGTTTTTGCTCAAATGGGCAATTCCATCGAAAGCGAATTTTTGGGTAATGCTTTTGCTCTCTATAGCAAATTCGATCGTAGTAGCAATTTTCCACATTTCTGCTCAATGTAGTAAATGTGACCAAAAATCATTTTTCAAAACGTTTTCCCAGGATAGTAAATCTGAGCAAAAACTCATTATTTTATTTGTGTTTAACCCGGTGTAGCAAATTTGGCCAAATACCACTTTATCCTCAAGTCTGCTCAGGATGGCAAATATGATCAAAGTAGTCGTTTTCCGCTGTTTTGCTCAGGGTAGCAAATTTGGCCAAATACCACTTTATTCTCAATTTAGCTCAGGATGGCAAATATGGTCAAAATATATAGTAGTTATCCACACTTTTCCTCTTGTAGCAAAGTTGGTCAAATATCAATTTTTCCATATTTTTGGTCAGAATGGCAAATATTGGCTGAGGTCACACTTGGGCTTTTTTTACTATAGGAAGGTAAACTTTACCATAGTTTCAGTCTTTTTAAATGTGACCGGCTTTTCTCACAGTACTATGGTAAACGTCCGTCTAGTCTGTCGCGCTGGTAACGGCGGCAGGATAAAAGCTAAGTTTACTATACGACCTGAATCGCAGTTCGTTAGTCAGAAATTTATCCAAGCTTTGTTTTTTTAGCTAACAACTTGTCAGTATTCTTGATATGCAACTCTTTGATTTCGCCAGCTCTACGCACATGCTTTCTGCGGATTTGTAGGGAACTACTTACCAAAGAACAGACATGTGAGACAAATATTCATTTACCAAGGAAAATTTTTTAATCAGCATACCATAATTTACTATCTTTCTGAATAGCAAACACACAGTCATATAAGTACCGCTGATTTTTTTACTCTAAGTTATGTTTTGACGTTACCGAGTGACTTGTACATGTTGACACAGGCGGCCCAAGCTCACCACAGGAACGCGGACGTGACTCTTGCTTGGAAGCGGTGTTGTGTTACAAACGGTTATTTACAAAGATTTGTATGGGGAATAGATCTTGTCACGGTTTTCGACGCCATCTTGACGAGTAGGCAACCGCGTGAGAAATTACAGTGTTTGTATGAGAATCTAATGTATCGGTCAAATCGAAGCTTCAACATGCCCCCCCCGGGTATACCCCGGGCATTTGACACTTTTGCCGTCCCGGGGAGGGGGGGAATTTGATTACCAGAGTCTTCCAGGGGGTGGGGAATTTGATCCCCATGCTTTAGGGGTGGGGAATTTGAACTGCACCCTCGATTTCATGTAAAATCTTTGGCGTGGCGAGCTATCATGGCGGACGCGGTGTCAGAGGGTTTTCGTGGAAAAGATTGTGCCTTTGTGGCCAATTGGTTACGAGGAAAGGGCTTAAACAAACTTTGTGCCGTATTTGAAGAATTTAAATTTTAAAATTTTTAACATTGGATTCAGGCTTTGAATGCATGAATGTATTTTATTGTTGTGGTTACAATGAAATACAATACCAATACCGGCGATTCAATACAACAACACAAAATAAAATAAAACGGTCAACTACTTTGACCTACTGCAAGTATGTTGATTAATAAGGTGAGCGATGTTGCATGTCAGTGAAATGGTCATGATGTAGTAATCTCAATGGGTGGGATCTTTTTTTATAGAACGCTTTGTATGTACCTTATAGCAGCGATTTCCGCCGCTTTGCACGAGACTTTTGTTCGTAGTATTAAAATACGCTAACAGTGTTGCTCAGTTTTTGTTATATTTATAAAGATTTTGTTCGACAACTGAAGGCGTTTCCGCTGTCCTTCTGTCATTTTTGTGCCTGTGAAATGTTCCCGGGGTGGGGGCATTTGAATGGACCCTAGTGTGGGGCATTTGAAGGGCATTTTGGCCCGGGTAGGGGGGAATTTGAACAATAATTTTCAAAAAAGGAAATGCCCGGGTGGTTGCCCGGGGGGGGGGGGGG